TTTTTTTTTTCTCTTTTTTCTCTTCTTGTATTATCATTCATTTTATTGTGAAACTATAAAATACAATGAACATCAGTGTTTTCGTTTATTTAATAAATTTATTCAACTCTTTTTGGTTTTTATCTTTTCAACTTTCTTCTTTTTCAAACAATTCATTGAATTATAGTTATACTATTTTATTCATATAATACACACATTTCAAAATTATTATAATTGAAGTATATCAGATATAACTTTAACAATTTGTTGGATATTACCAGAAACTCTTTCTACATTAAAATTTATTGACATAACTCATTTTAATCTTTTAACTTTATACAATTAATACTATCTTTATTATTGTATTATCATTTTAATCACATCCCATATGAAAATGAATATTAACAACATAAGAATTAATTAACTTCTTTATGTTTAAATTTGATTTATCACTCATTTTAAATATTCTTTTTTCATGTTAAAATTACTTAATAAACTTTAAATCACATATATAAATAAATATAATTAAATTTGAATGTTTTATTCTTTGTTCATTTCATGTTTTATCTTTTATTTGATTTTCAAATACATTATAAATATATACAAAATGATATTTGTTATTTTACAATAAGAGAATAAGAAAATAAAATGTAAATGTTGTATTGTTTCATTCATTACGTAAAGTATGAAATGAAAATTACTTTACAAAAACAAATGACATTCAATAATATCTATAATTGATAATAACATAAAACCTATCTTTCTTCTTCTAAATAATTTTTAATGAAATGAGAATTCTCATACATTTATTGTTATTTTAATTACATTGTATTTATTTCTATTTGAATTTATTCTTTGTTTATTTCTTCATTCACATTATACAATTAAATTCAATTAAAAATAAAATCATTTTAACTTCTATTTTCATCATCTTTTCATTTATATCATATTGTTTCTTGTGTTGATTATTTTGGACTATCAAATATATTAATTATATTCTTCTTCAAAATAAAATTATCATTCAACTTTTACATTCACTTATTCTTCAAATCATTATTAATTTAAATTGTGTAATATTTTCACTATTCACTCTTGTTTTTATTTATCAAATGGTTAAATAATACATTCAAATGAAATACTATAAACCAACATTTAACTGGTGTTAAAAATAAATAAAATTATTGAATTAAACATTTTCATTCATCTAAATTCATTCATATGAATGTTTATTTAATAAATTAAATATAATATACTCAATTAATTTAATTCATTATTCAATTCATATTTATTTGATTGTGAAGTATTTATTAATTCTTTCATTTTCAGTTCTATTTATTTGTTTTTAAATCTGTATCAATTGAATTAAATATTACATTATATTTGAATATATCTCTATATTTTCTTCTTTTATTCATTTTCTATTTGTTATTCATGAAATAATGACATTTCTAATATTTATTACACCTTTACATTTTGTTTTATATTCTTTATTTTATTCATTTTCTATATTTATTGAATTTCATTATTTGTGATTGTTATTCTTCTTTATTCTTATATTATATTATTTTCTATCATTTCTTCTGTTAATTTATTTATCATCTTTTTTATTTTATTCTTTATTTCTTTTTTTCAAATATTACAATAAATTATTATTTTATTCTGTATTTCATTTTGTCATTTACTATTCTTTTATTATTTCTTCTTCTTATATTTTATATATTGTAGTTAAAATATTGAATCAAATGAATATATCTTATTGACATTAAATTATTTCATAATTATTTATTATTTAAGTATAATCGTTGTAAATTTTGTTATTTCTTTGTAATTTCATTTCAGCTATTAATTTTCTATCATTTTATCTTCATCATTATTTCTTTTATGTCCATTATATCATATTCTCCATTTTCTATATTCTTTTATATTTCTCTTGTCTTTATATTCGTTCTTCTATATTTATTTTATCTATTCATAAGTCATATGAATAATATTTATTATTATTATTCTTATAATATTCTTAAACCATATAATTCTGATTAATTTAAGAGTTTTCATTCATTGAAGGAATATTATGTTTATCTTCAAAATGACAAAATAAAAATACTCAAACATCGCTCTGAATTTGAATTACTACATTCAATATACTATCTACTTAGTATTCTAACACTTTATTTATAAAGAATTGATATGATATAAAAATGAAATAACAATTATTTTATTTTTAATTATTTTTATAATAACAAAAATAAAAACAAATTTGTTAAAAGATGAAATGAGCAATAAAAAAACAATACTTTATTGTTAAACAAATAAAATACTTTTATATTTATAATGATTATTTGTACTTCATAATATCTATTTGTTTCTTCTTTAAATCTCTTCATTACTCTTCTTTGATTTATTTCATCTTTCTTGTTTTATTAACTCGTATTCTGTTTTTTATTAAGTTTCTTTTTGGTTTTACTCTTTATTCTAATTATATTTTTTAATTATGTGTTCTTTGTTTATCTTAGTTTGACTTTAGTTCTTTTATTCAGCTTTTTGTATATTCTTCTGCTCAAAAAGAACAATAACTTTTTTTAACAATCACTCAATAATGAAAAAATATATCTAACAAGGTTTTCTCTTCTTGATTCAAAATCATCATAACTTAATTTACTTAATAAATGAGAACAACATTGTTCATCAAACTCAAAATGAAATCCTGTGATGAGAATTTTTCCTTTTCCATACCTTCTAGTATAACCACATTTTTTACCATCTTCATACAATGCAAAATGAGTACCCTCTACTTTATTATTATTATCATCAAAATAACAACCTCCATTATAATAAACATATGCATAGGTATTCTTGTACATTATCTTTACTATATGTGCACCTGACTCACTATTTGGTTGATATCCATCATACACTGGACCAATTGCATTTCCCTCATAAAATTTTAAGTAACGTTCTCCTTCAATAACTAATTGAGAAGTTAAAAAGAACTTAATGTATGATGATGAAAAGTATGCTCCAGCACATATCCCTAAGAACTTTCCCCCATTGAAAACAAACGACTTAATCAGTTCAATTCCATCAATCTGAAGTTTATCAAGATAAGGTAAATCCTCACCTCCTGGTATGACTAACAAATCAGTACTTTCAATCCATTTGTTCGTCTTAATTTCTGAAGAAGAAATTTTAAAAACATTAGCACAAGGGAAAAAATGATGAAACAATTGAATTGTGTTATGAACACAAAGAACGGATGTTCCAATGTCATTATACACTCTGATAGTGTTAATCATCAAAATGAAATAAATAAAAATAAAGATTATTAATAACAATGTGATTAAAAATATGAAAAAACATGTTTCAAAAAGAGTTTTCTTCTCATTTCAAATTCACTTTTCTGATGTTCTTTAAGCATTTTACCACACCATTCTATGTCTAACTCAAAATGAGGACCAGAAAGAATAACTTTTCCTTTACCAATAGTGTCAAAGAATAAAGCATTCATTCCATTTTGATATTTTGCAAGAAAATGATTCTCTTTGTATTGATTTAAATTGTCAACAAATGAACATCCTCCATTATAATAAAGTTCTACTTTTTGATTATTTTGATAATAAATAGGAATTATGACAGCTCCTTGTTCAGAATATTCTTCAAATCCTTGGTATATTGGTCCATGTGCAATACCATTGAAAAGTTTAATGTTCTTCTTCACATAGACTTAATTCATTTGGAATATCTTTATTAAATTCAATAAATGATGATGCAAAATATGCCCCTGCACAAATCCAAAGATACTTTCCACCATTATTAATAAATTCTTTCAATATTTTGACTCCTATTCCATTAAGTTTTTTGTGAAAGGGACGATCAGCACCACCTGGCATAACAAATAAATCAGTTCAGAAATCCATTTACCTTCAATTAATTCATTAGCATATATTTTTCTTATTCTAGCTTCTTGGTATTGAGAATGAAGCATTTTCATTGAATAATGAACACAAACATTAATAGTTCCTTCATCAGCATAAATAACTATAGATTTTATTGTCATAAGAAATGTTAATTCTCTTTAATCATCCAAGTTCTTTTATACTTTATCTTTATTACTTTTTAACTTAATAAATCTGCGAAAATAATTCAATTTAAAACTTCATGAAGAACTAAAAGTAACTTTTCTGCAATTTGGTGATGTGCTTCTGATGTGAAATGAACACCATCTTCTCCAACACTCATCCCATCTAAATCAACAAACCCATCTATTATTTCTTGCTTTTTCCATAATTCAACAACAATTTTTAATTGATGAACAAATTTCAATGATTCTTCAATCACTGGATTTACTGTAGATTTCCAACTTTCAAATGTACAATATTGAAGTGGTGGTGGAATTAAAACAATTACTTTTGTTTGTTTTTGAACTTTTCGATATATTGTTGTAATACATCAATAACTTGTTGTGAAGTTGCTTTTGAAAGAATATCATTAATACATAATGAAATAATTAATACTTTGTTTGTTGAAAATGGATTGGAGGTAATCTTTAATAAGAATTGATCATATTCTTTTAACCCATTAGTAATACCAAATGGTATGTTTTCATATTTTAATGAACGAGCAGGTTTTCCATCAACAATACAATTGACTTTTGTAAATTCTTTTTTCAATTGTTCAATGACAATATTAGAAAATCTGTCTTTGGAAGAATAACGTTTATAAGTCACAGCTTCAATACCATAAAGATTTGAATCTCCATAAAAGAATATTGAAAGTTCATTCATTAATAAAATTGTTTTTATTAGATTTAAAACTAAATTAAAAATAACAAATTATTTATTTCTGATAATAACAAGATTTTAATTGAGGAAGTGATAATACCATTCAGTGTTAATAAATTCACTTTCTTTTGATCTTTTGGAATAGAAATTCTTTATAAAATCTTTTTGAATCATTTCACTATTAATTTTACTTTCATTAAGCATCAGAGTATAAACTACACTGGATTAATTATTTCAAATACTGAGTAATGAAGATAAAGTGAGTCAAGACAAGATGGTAATTCTACATTCTGAGTAATACAATTTTCAATGTGAAGTTCCTTAACATTAATATAATTTAAATCCTTAAATGATATATGATTTTGTGACAAACCAAAACATGATACAGTTAATGAAGTCAAAGAAGTAGGAAGTAATATTAGATATGAAACTAATCCTAATATTTTTAAACTACAAAGACATGAACAATGATATATATTATGTTCTTTTAAAGAAACATTTAATACTAATTGTGTAATTGGTAATTTCTTTGGAAGAGAATTAGAATAACATTGTAAAAATTTTAATGAATTAGGATAAAATGATTCAATACTAACATTTTTAAGAGTTTTGTTTATGTGTAATACTTTTAAATTTGTTAATGAACAAAGACTATTACATGTGTTACATGACAAAAACAAATATGTTAACATTGGACATAATGAAATTTGAAATAGTTTATTTGAACATAAAGAAAGTCGAACTAATTGAGAATAATTAGAAATTTGAATAAAATCAGTGATTGTTATGTTGTTAAATTATTAGGAAAAGATACATCTTGAATATTTTTTCCTTGAAGATATAATTCATTAAGAGAAGATATTTTATAGAAATATTTTGATTCTAGATGTGTTAGACTTACTGGTGGATTAAAATAAATTGAAGAATTTGTTGATTTGATTGATTTTATGAATGTATATGAACTAAAATCCATTTTAATCTTCTTTTTACTAAATCCATTTATTTTAATATGCTCAGGATAATTTTGAATTAATGTTTCATTATCAAATCCTTTTTCTGTTATTTCAAACTCATTAATTAATCGTTTATTATGAATAGTAACACTATTAGAAATATTACTATAACATTCTTTGTAACAAAATGTAATTCTTTTGAGAAGTTCTTTATTTTTGATGACTGATTCTAATATTTCTTGT